ATCAGGGAGTCTGCCTCTCTCTCTGACCCTCCCCCCTCTCATGCTCTCTCTCTCTATCTCATTCTCTCTCTTAAATAAATAAATAAAATCTTTAAAAAAAAATGGAAACAAGAGCCCCTAAGGATATCATTAAATGAGATAACAGGAAAGCACCCTGCAGAGAGCTTGGCCACCAGCTGGTGCCTCAACTGCCTCTTCTTGCCACCCCATGCCACCCCCCGCCCCCACACAGGTCATCATGGAAGCCTGGGTGAAGGGCGTGAACCCCAAAGGCAACTCCACCAACCCCAGCAACTGGGACTTCGGCAGCAGTTTCTTCTTTGCAGGCACGGTTGTCACCACCATAGGTAAAGGGTCGGGGTGGGGAAGGGCTTCCCCAAAGCCCCTGTCTTGGTTTGGGTTCCCCAGAGCAGATGCTGAGACCAGGATGCGGTTTGTCTCGGAGATGATGCCAGGAAGCACAAGTAGAGAGGTGGGGAGATAGAGCAGGAGGGGAGAAAAGACAGCAAAGTTTGCATTGACGAGCAGGGTCCCAGTGAGGGTCACTGGCCTCGCTCCCACCGGGGCCCCCTGAGAGGCCAGGCAGAGCCCAGCCTCAGAACAGTGCCTGTGAGGGGCGAGGAAGCGGGCTATTTATCTACCAATTCCTGCCCTTGCTGGTTGAGAGCTGATCCCGGATGTGTTAACTCTCCAGTATTTGAAACTTGCCCACAGACCAAGCACACTCTCTAGAGATGCAGGGACTTGGGGTGGAGAGCCACCTGTGTGTGCAGGAACTGTCCCCCGAGCTGCAGGTGGTGCCCCAGGTGTTCTGAGGGGACAGGACACCCAACAGCATCTGCTACACCCCCTCACCTAGAAAACCCACACCACCTCTCCCAAGGAAACCCCAGACCCCCCATTTCCAAGGTCTACCCAACCATTCAATTAAATTCGATTCCACATACCTTCCTTGAGCTCAGGGGACAACTAAAGCAGAGGGAGTGGGGAGTTAGGAGGGTACAAACTTGGATCAGACCCAGGCTCAGCCCTCAAGGAGCTTCTGATCCAGTGAAGCGGAATGAGATAAGCACGCAAAAAACAATAGTACAAGGCAAAGTAGATAATTAGACAAGAATGGCACAAAGCACTATGGAGAATCACTCCTAGCAAGGAAGAAGAGGGTGGCAGTCAAGAGGGCTTCCTAGAGGCAGTGTCCCTGGAGATGGGCCTTTCAAAGACAAGCAGGAGTCTTACAAATAGAGATCTTTCTAGTGGGGGTGGGTGGGGGGGAGAATGTTCTTGGGAAGAGAGGAGCTTCCCCTCCATCCCCAGAGGTAGTGGAAGACCACCTTCTGCTAGAGTCTGTGCGGGAGGCAGCTCTGAACGCTCTCTTCTCCATGTTTGCACACTCCTCCCCCCTGCAGGATACGGCAACCTGGCGCCCAGTACGGAGGCAGGCCAGGTCTTCTGTGTCTTCTACGCCCTGGTGGGCATCCCGCTCAACGTGGTCTTCCTCAACCACCTGGGCGCAGGGCTGCATGGCCACCTGGCTACCCTGGAGAGGTGGGAGGAACAGCCCAGGCGCTCCCAGGTAGGACCCCTCCCCCCTTCCAGCCCCTTCCAGCCCCTTCCCTGCCCTGATGGGATCTGCTGCAGGGTGAAAATGGAAGTTGACACCAAGATGCAGTTTGGCAGGCAGGGTCTTAGGGGTAGATGCTTGTGGAAGAAAGGGCTGTGCCGAGGAAGAGGTTGAATTGTGATCAGGCTGAAACAAAGACTTGGACAGCCCCTCACGGAGTTCTGCATTGTGTGTGGCCAGTGAAGTTGGCCCCACAGGGGGCTAAATTGGCCAGGGCTTTATTCGTGTCCATCAGGCACAGGGTGGCCTTCCTGGGAAGGGTGTGCCCTTGGGCCAGGCAGTCCTCTGTAGCCAAGGGTCACCTCCAAGGAGCTGAGAGCTGGAGGCCACTGGCTGACGGCTAGTCAACAAGGTCTTCTTTGAAGGGGGATCTGGGCGGCACATCCCTGTGGTCATCACAGAGCTCTAGCACCTCCTCTTGTGGTTAAAAATAAACTCCAGGCCACCCGGCACACCCCCCAGTGCCCACCCGCTTGGCCAGCACCTTGCAAAGCCAGGCACGTGAAGGAGGGCCGAGGTGCAGAGCAATCCGGGACAGTTCAGTGGCTGTCCTCCATCCCCGATCTGAGTCCCCCGAGGGCCTATCCAAGTGTGATCCCCAGGCCCAGAAGAGTCTCCAGATTCTAGCCTGACCCACTAATGACATCCTTCTGACCAAATATTCCCTGGCCTGGGCAAGAGCGCACACACAGAATACAATCCCCACCCCAAAGGTCTGCAGGGCCAGGAAGAGACATAGCTATGGCCCAGCTCTACTCCCAGATTTGTCCCTCCCCAATCCTGGGGCCTTCCAAGTAGACTCAGAGACAGACTCTCTCGCTCCCAGCTGCTGCAGATCCTGGGCCTGGCTCTGTTCCTGACCCTGGGGACGCTGGTCATTCTCATCTTCCCACCCATGGTCTTCAGCCATGTGGAGGGCTGGAGCTTTGGGGAAGGCTTCTACTTCGCCTTCATCACTCTCAGCACCATCGGCTTCGGGGACTATGTTGTTGGTGAGAACAAGGCAGTCACATAGCTCAGGGTGGGGGCCACGGGGATTCAGGGGATGGGGAGATATCAGCAGGAGGCACCTTTTGAGGATCAGATAGTCTTTGGTTATCCAGGGGAGACCAACAGTTTGTGAGGCTGCTGAGGATTCTAACATCCTTAGATATCTGTGGCCTGGGACCCATGGCCCTTTCCCCCGGGGACCTCCCCTGCAGATTCTCGTTATGGGGAGGCCGGCGGGGACCCCTGTGGAACCTGGGGCAGCGGGGGCTGTGCCCTCAGATCCCTGGCATGTATCATGTCTCCTTCCCTGCCAGGCACAGACCCCAGCAAGCATTACATCTCGGTGTACCGAAGCCTGGCTGCCATCTGGATCCTCCTGGGCCTGGCGTGGCTGGCGCTGATCCTCCCCCTAGGCCCTCTGCTTCTGCACAGGTGCTCCCAGCTCTGGCTGCTCAGCAGGGGACTCAGCCTCAAGGACCGGGGAGCCCCCGAGATGGATGGGCTCCCCAGACCTCAGAAGATCCCCATCTCTGCGTGAGGTCACCAGTGGCCGCAGGAGCCCCTCCGGCTGCCCCTACCCCTGTATGCCCTCCGGACTTCCTGTTCCGTGTCCTTTCCCACTCCCTTCCTAGCCAGGGCTGCTCTCGGGAGCTCTCCGGAGAGCAAATGAGTTGGAATGCCCAAGCAGCTCACTGCAAGATGTAGGGCAGGATGAAAGACAGATGTGTGTGGAGTGAGATGTGCATCGTTGTCCCAAAGCCCCTCCCCCAAATGTGGCCTGGCAAAGTTGAATCCAGACATGGATCACTCTGGTCAAATCCCCATGATGTCCTACTGCATCCCGTCCCCCCCACCCAGGAGACTTTATTCAGTACAGCAGACGAAGGGTGAGTTTATTTTCACCTCACTTGATATATGCACAATGTGCATTTGTCAGGCCCCCACTGTGTGTCTGGCAGAGTTCCAGGCTCTGGGGGCAAATAGTGAAAGATCCTGCTCTCCCTGTGCATTTCATCCAATGGAAGGACTAGACAAGCCGCGAGGCCCTGAGCCAGTACCCCCAGTGGGGTAGAGCAGGTATGACAAGAGCCCATAGGAGGGGCTAGCAGGGAGCGTCAAGGAGGGAGGCTGGGCAGAGACTTCGGAGCATCTTCGTGCAAACAGGAGAGCTGCCCTCAGGAAGGTGGCAGCTACTGCTCAGAGCCCACCAGCTACCCTTGCCTAAGGCCTGGAGCTGTCCGTCAACAAGGCGGGGCTCTTGGGTGTCCCACCTACCTTCCGGAATGTGGCCTCCCCCTGACTCCTCAGGGCACCCCTTGACCTCATCACCCCCTCTGAGCGTCTGTCTTAAGAGCCTTTCTAAACACACCCTGGGAAAACGGGGAGCCAGCAGATCCCAGGAGATCCCCCAGGAAATGAGCTCCATGGAGGCCCGGCCTCCTTTGGGAATGCGCTCTGCAGCCCTGGCCTTTCTCCTGCCGGACTCTGACATCTCGGGCCAGAAGGAGAGGAGAGTTTGAGGCCAGTCCATCCAAAGGCCAGCCTCAGGAAGGACTCCAAACCTCTGCCCCTACGTCTGCCATCAAGGCAGGCCCAATAGTGGCCGGGGGCTCTGGACAGGACTGAGGCAAGGCTGTGAGGAAGAGGATGCTCCAGACGGGACACACAGGGAAATCTACAGCAACAAGAGTGACCCAGGTTACACCACAGGACTTCCTGGTATGAAGAAGAGGCCTGGGAAACGGAAGACTCCCAGGGGACTCCTTATATACCCTGGACCTTTCCCCCAGGAAGGGAGTTAGGGGGCCTCTTCAGAAGCAGGGAATGAACAAACCCACTGGTCAAGGATCCTCTTGCCTCCCAAGTTCATAGACAAGAGGTGATCAGCTGGGGTCCCTCACCTTTGGGTACACAATGGAAAGGGGGTTGTTGGAAGAGATCCAGGGAGGACTTGACAGGTGGCAAGTCCTTGGTGATAGTCCCAGGATCCAAGAACTTAGGCTGGGGCCCTAAGGCAATGAACATGTCTTCTACTTTCTCTTCCTCTTGCGTGGCGTTTCCAGGAGTCCCTCCCTCTGCTCCCTACAGTAGGACACCCTGGGGGGCTCTGGCCCCTTCCTTCTGAGGCCTGTGGTCACCCCACAGCCCTCCCCTTCTCCCTGAGCTAGGCCTGGGGGATGAGCACACCACACACACTCAAGGCGGGGCCAGATGCCCACAGCTCCGGCCTCATTTTGTCCCTGGGATTGGATCCCGGTGCGGGGTGGGGCTGGGCTGTCCCATTCCCCAGCAAGCCTCCTCTGCTGAGAAAACTGGCCACAGACAGGCGTTGGCTGAGGAGGGGACCAGCCGAGCTCCCAGCCCTTTCTTTCCGACTCAGACCTGGCCCATGGCTCCAGGCCCAGGCCTCCCTGCCTCTCTGGCTCTGTGCAGACCCGCAGCCCGGGCGACGCCCGACCACAGGGCTCCCGAGTGCGCGGTGCCGGGCACCCTGCTCCTGCTGCTCGCCTACCTGGTTTACCTGGCGCTGGGCACCGGCGTGTTCTGGGTGCTGGAGAGCCCCGCGGCGCGCGATTCCAGCGCGAGGTTCCAGCGCGACAAGTGGGCGCTGCTGCAGAACTTCACGTGCCTGGACGGCCCGGCGCTGGACTCTCTGATCCGGGTCAGGGGCGAGCGGGGCGGGCGAGCGGGGGGCACGCGGGGGCGAGGGGGCACGCCCTGGCTGCGGCCCGGGCCCCGCCGGCAGCACTCAGGGCACAGAGAGGCGGAGGGGTTCGACGCGGACCTCCTGGGGGGGCGGGGGCTGGAGGGGCGGGCTGGAGCGCGGCGGGAGGGAAGCGGGCGCGGCGCTCAGTGCCCGGGTAGGGCGGAGAGGGCACGACCCGCCCCGTGGAGAGGGTTGCCAGGCGCCAACACCGGAATGTGAGCATGGGGAGGACGGGGGGCGCGCCGACCCGGGTCCGGGGCTGGCGGGGCGGGGCGCTCGCACGGCCGGGGAGGTGGCGGGGCGAGGGTCCCACCGGGCCCGCGCGCCGCTGTGTCGGGGTCGCACCGCGGGCCAAGGACGGAAGGGCGCGCCTGAGGCCTTGCACAGAGAGTGCAAACATGCGACCTGGGGGGGCGAGGAGAACAGGGGGCGACGGGCAGTGTCTGGGGATGCGCTGAGTGGGAGTCTTGGGGTAGGAAAGGGTACAGGGCGCTCTTGTCCCAGCGGGTGAGTGGTATGGGGCCGGGAGCTCGAAGTGCACAGACCCGCTCTGAGAGAAGCGGGGGGCACTCACAGGGGCGCTCTTTGGCTGATCCCGCTCTACTCGGGGTCTTCGGACTCGGGCTGGACGCGTCCGGGAGATCCAGAGGTCCCGGAGCACAGAGACTGCTCAGGGAGTGGGGGACGCAGCGGGGCGTGGGGGAGGGGAGAGGCAGGGGAGGGTTCTTGGGGAAGGGGGGGATCGCAGATGGATGGAGGTCTCCTTTCACTCCGGGCAGGACACAGCCGACCGGGACCCGCCCAGAACTGGCGGATGTTTTAACGTCCCGGGACCTCCCTTGGTCCGGGGACCCAGACAGCTGTGTCCCTAGCCCCAAATGCCGGACCCGCAGTCCTGGCGCCGCCTCCATCGAGGAGGGCAGGGCCTGAGTCCCAGAGCGGCCATTCCGAAGCCAGTCCCCAGAAGGTGGCAGGGAAACGTTTCTGGGTGGGAAGTGACCCTGCACTGGAACAGTGGTAGGGTCCTGAGCACTTGGACTGGGCTGACTGGGCAGCAGGAAGACTGTCTCTGCTAAAGACCTCAGGTCGCACCTCCACCCACCCCCCACCTCTACACTTTCACAAATGCAGCGGAACTGCCTCGTCCTGGAGGCTGGGCCGTACCCCTTTTGCAGAAGTGCTGAACCTCCTTACCTGCAGCACTGGCCCAGGGAGGATGACCGTGATGGCCATGATAGCAGAGAGTGCTTCTGCAGAGCCCTCGCTGTGTGTCAGGCATTGTTCCGGGGGGTTAACTCGCATTTACTCATTTCATCCTCACCTACATCCCATTTCCGAGATGAAGAAACTGAGGCTCAAAGAGGTTAAATACAAGTACATGGCTGCATAGCCAGGGAGCTGGGCCTGTTAACCACCAAGATGGGGCTTGGTGCGGATCTGTGGGGGGTGTTCCCCAAAGTTCCTGCAGGGCTTTCATCTCCTTAGCTTCCCCTCCAACCCCCTCTGCTCCACACGCACTTCGACTTCGCCCCTTCCTCAACCATCCCGTGGCTTCCACCATCCCCGAGATAAGGATCTGGTGTGTCCGAAGCCCAGATCTCCCACTGAGTACAGACAGACAGGTACATGCAACTTCCTCAGATTCCCCCAAGGTCAAGAGCAAGCAGCCCTCCTCCTCCCAGCCCTGCACCTCCACCTATTCCAAATCTCTGTCATCGGCCCCACATCCACACACTCCCACAGTGGTCTTAAAGGCTTCCCTCACTACCCACACCAAATAGGGCCAACGGCCTAGGCTTTTGAGTATCTCCTCTCGGTTCCTCCTGGACCACTCCGCCAGGATGCAGGCTACTCGCCCCTACAAGGCTCTCTCCCCTTCTGGTCTGCTCACACCTCTGTTGCCAGCTGCCAGGGAACACACAAACCGGATCTTGCCTCCTCTTTGTTCGGTGACCTTGGGAGAGGCCTGCTGCTCCATCCCTGGCATGGCAGAGCCAAGCATGACCTGGCTCCCACCTGTCTTTCAGTCTCCCTGTACTAAATCCCAGGCACAGTCCTGCCCCGCAGGAATCCCTAAATCTCCCTAAATGTCCTTCCACCAGGAGCAGTCCCTTTCAACTCTCAGAGAAGGCCCAGCTAAAACCTCACCCCCTCCATGAAGACTTCTGCCCCTACCCCCGGCAGAATGAACACCTTTCCTCTTTGCATTCCTATTATTATATTTGTAACCATGAGGATGATGGCAACCACTGGCACTTACCACGTCTCAGGTACTGTTCTAAGTCTACACCGAATAGCCTATTTAACCCACACAACAACTCTATGAAGTAGGTGCTATTAGTATTCCCGTTTTACAGATAAGGAAACTGAGGCACAGAGAAGTTGGGTATCTTGTCCAGGGTCATGCAGCTCTACCGCCTTAATGCCCAAAGCTGCACTGGCTGCACTGTATGAGTTAAGTCTGTCCCTGTCCCGCTGAGGACTGAGGTCCTGTCTCTTACATCTCCGGGTCCCCTAGAACACCACGTGTCCTGCCTGGCAGTGCTCGTTGCAAGGATGGGAGTGAGCAGGGGAGGGGGGATGGAATGGTGTTCTTCCAGCTGGTGAGACACCCTGAGCTGACCTGGGGTCTAGGGTAAAGAAGGGAAGGAGCTGTCCCCATGGTCCCTGCCCCTGGCGAGGCCCTGGGTGGAGGGGAAGAACCTACTTGCCCTGCAAGGGCTGAGATTGCAGAGTGGTTGAATGTCCATGAATGTGTGTGTGTGTGTGTGAGTGTGTGTGTGTTTGTACACACACGCATGCGCATGTATTCATGCACACATGTGTATGTGTTTGGGTGCAGGGGCCCAGTTGCCCCACAGAGCCTGGTGGTCACTGCAGCCTCTCCCCCAGGGCATCATCCAAGCATACCAAAGTGGGGACATTGTCCTTGGCAACACCACCAGCATGGGACGCTGGGAGTTCATGGGCTCCTTCTTCTTTTCCGTGTCGACCGTCACCACCATTGGTAAGAGTGGGTGGGACTGGGGAAGCTGGTCTCCCCCTAGAGGATGGGGGGCAGGGGACCAGTGCCTTTTAGAGGGGTCACTAGGGCCCCGTGACTCCAAGCGTAGTCAGGCCCTGCAGTGTGGCCACTGCCTGTGGGCAGGATCTCGGTCTCCCCTGGGATCTGCTGAATCAGTTTCTGCATTTCACCAAGGTCTCCAGGAGGTTTGTGTGCAACACTCACATTTGAGAAGCACTGCTCTGGAGGATCTCTGCCTCACACAACCTTTCAGGAAGCAGGGGGTCTCCCCTGTGCAGCAGTAAAGATGCTTCTCAACTTTATAAGTGTCCAGAGCCAAGCCCACCCAACACTGAGCCCAGGGGTGGAGACGAGGGGCAAGGGAAAATTAGGAAGGAGGGAGGGGCCGAAATCTAAAAAGAGCCTTTCCGGCCCCTCTTCTCAGCATTGGGGAAAGGTGGCCGTTCCTGGAAGCCTCTCCCCAGCTCACTGTGGCACCCTTCACCCTCCTCACCATCTTCTCCAAGCCCACTTCCTCCCTCACACACAGGGACCCCTGGAGCCAGATCTCAATCCCGTCTCCCTAGCCCTGCCTTCAAGAGAGCAAAGGTAGAAGTTATCTTGGGAAGGTGCCTGGGGGCTGCTGGAAAGGGAAGGAGAAGAGCAGCCTAGGTCCCTCCAGCTCTGAAACCCAAGAAATGACTCAAATGCAGAACCCCATCCCCCTGCCCTTGGGGTTGCCCCTCCCTGCATGACACTGGATTTACCACCAGGTGGCAGGCTGACACCACTGCTGGCCAGGGCCACCTCCACCAGCTCTGGGCGTGCCAGGATCCTCTCCCCAGGAACCAGGGTCCCAGCCTCCGTCCTCCCCAGAGTGGAGCCAGGCAGGAGCACCCAGAGGACTCTCCATCTAGTTTTAAAGCAGCAAATACTTCTTGGTAACGGGTCTGAGGGCTACGCAGGAGCTTGGGCAGCCCTCCTCCTTGAGGCAAGCATGCTTGGGGGAGGCCCCTCAGACTCCACGGACCCTGTGACCCTGGAAGGACTAGCCAGGATGGTATTTATTCCTCTTTACACCCACTGAGCCTAGTACAAAGCCCCAATACAGTGGACACTCAACAAACCCTGACACGTTAATGAATTCCAAAAATACCCATTCCACCTGCACTCACTGAGTCCCAGGGTGGGAGGGGATGTTGAGGCGCAGTCACTGCAGGGAGGCCTCCCTGTTGTGTGGGGGCCTTTAGTCTCTAAACCCTGCACCTCCTACACCCTTTGCCCCAGACCCTGGACTTTGGCCCTCTGAATTCTGACTTTGGTAGCCTGTCCCTTCCTCTTTACTCGTCCTGACGCAGCTCTCTCTGAAGGGAAGAAGGGCAGAGGAAGGGGGAGCCCACCCCACCCTGCACACATGATCTACTTGTACTAGGCACTGTGAGGGACTCTTTTACAATTGAGATTTCAATTGAGGGGCTCTTTTACAATTGAGATTTGTCCATATGGCCTTATCTCCAAGGATAGGGCTTATTATTTTCATGTCACAGAGGGGGAAACTGAGGCACATAGAAGTTACACAATTTCCCCAAGGTCACATAAGCAGCAGAGTTGGAATTTGAAACCTAGCTAGGGGATAGTATTGCTCTTAAGCATAAACCTTTAGGAGGTTTACAAGATAGAGTGGGAATTCTAAACAACAGGAAGAAAGAGAGGGCCATTCTGGGGTGGACAGTAAGGAAGTTCATGTCCCTGTGATTCTGACCACACACGCATGCACGAGCATGCAGAGGGGATGCAGAGAGAGGAGGAGGAGGGCAGAGACAGGAAACAGGGTACCTATGGAACACTCCACAAGGAAAGGAAGGAATAATTTGAGAGACACAGCAGAGGACTGCCTCCTTGGCATCCCTGGGGCCCTGGGTCCAGCACCCAGTAAAGGCTATACTTTCCAAGACCCAAGATGAAATAGGGTCTGACAGGTCCTTGAACACTTCTAGACCATCCAGACAGGCCTGAGCCCCCACTTTGTCCATCACCTATGAACTCCATCTCTGGCTTGCTCATTCGTTCACTTATCCAGTCATGCATTCATTCAACAAATAGACTTAGTAGCTGTGGGAGCCTGACAGTTCTGGGGAAACAATGGTGAGCGGAAAATGACAAGTCCCTACCTTTGGGGGGTGCTGACATTCTAGTGCAAGAGGACACCCAACAAATAGATACATAGACAATATTCAGGGGGTGGGAGGTGCTTTGAGAAAAATAATGCCAGGTAAGGGGCTCTGATAGTGAAGGGGGCTATTGTATATCGAAGGCCTTGTTGATACGGTAAACTTGAAGCAGAGACATGAACAGAATGAGGGAGAAAACCATGTAAATATCTGGGGAAGCAAGTGCAAAGGCCCTGAGGTAGGAGTGTGACTGCTGGGCTTGGGCAACAGGAAGGAGGACGAGGTGACTGGAAAGGTTGGAAATGAGGCCTGACTTTGGAGAAGGTGCAGGGCAGCCACACAAGGCCTTCCTGGTAGGGCTCTCTCAGGATGTCCTGGGGCTGGACTAGCAATGGAAAAGAGGTGACAGGTGGGAGACCTGCTGAAGTAAGAGGTGGCTTAGATGGAGCATGGGGTTCTAAAGCAAGGGGGCTGCTGATGTCCTCAGACCAGAAGCTGGTGCAGTGGAGTTGGGTCATTCATCCATTCATTCACGAAGCAAACATTCCTCTAGCAGCTTCAGTATACTAGATGCTTGAGGGGACACATTCCCATCCATGACACATCTCCATTGCCTCCTTTTGTCCCATGGCACACTGTGAGGTAGATGTATACCCACCTTACAGACAAGGACACAGAAGCTCAGAAAGGTCAAACCATTCACCCAAGGTCCCACAGCCTTCAAGGGGCCGAGCTGGGATTCAAACACAGGAAGCACCTCTGATTCCAAAGCCCATGCTCTAGATGAGTGCATGCTTTGGCCACTCTTGGGACTATGCCCTCTGAGACCCCCCAGTAAGGTGAGAGTGAGGTAAACCACCAATACAAGTGAGCATGGGGTATGTAGGAGTGCTGACCCAGTCTGCCTCCCCAGGGGGTGCAGGGTGCAGGGCATCTGTTCATCTATTGACTCATTCATTCCTGTATTTCTCATTCATTCATTCATTCATTCATTCATTCTTAAAACTCATTCAACACACATTTGGTGAGCACCTATGAGGTGTCAGATCCTGTGCCAGTTGCTGAGAATAAAAAGCTGATTATGACTCAGCCCATGCTCTTGAGGGGCCCTTGAGAATAGCAGACTTGGAAACAAATCATTCCCATACAGTGGGTTCCCCTCAAAGCCGGCAGAGGGCTGGGGGAGCCATGGCACTGGGGCTGCCATTTCTATGCTCTTGGTAGAGGGAGAGTCATGCTCAAAACACAGAGGCAGGAAGGGGCTGGGGACTCAGCAGGGCAGGAATGTGGCCGGAACTGGGAAAGTGGGGGACCAGATGAGCTTGGCTGGGTGAGACTTTGGGCTTTCCTCAGCAGACTCGAGGAATCCTGGGAAACAATATAATCAGGCTTGCATCTGACTCAAGGCAAGACAGCGGTGCTGACCAAGAAGTGGGGGGACAGAGATGGAGAGGAATGAGGGAGAAAAGAATGCCCAGGCTGATGGACTCTTTCGAGGAATGCCTCGTCCCCCTAGCCTTCCCCCTCCCCCAGGGCACCTGATTGTCCATCCACCGCCCCTCACTTCCAAGGGGCTTGGGGGGGGAGCCCAGAGACAGGAGCCTAGAGGCAACAGGGCCCTGGCTGGAATGGTGTCTGTCCCAGAGGTGCAGCATCTGGAGGCTCCACACCCTTCCGTGTCCCTCTCCACGTCCTTCTGTTGGTCCCCAGAGGGGGAAACAAAGGGAGAGGATGGAGTCTTACACTTGGTGGGTTTGCGCTCACACACACTGCTGAGCCTCCTGGAGCTTCTGTTTTCCAGTCCGTAAAACATGGGGCGTAATCCCCACTTGGACAGCCGGTTGTGAGGTGGGACTGAGGGAATGAAGGCGCAGTCCTGGAGCGGGAACAAAAGGTCTCGGTAAATACCAGCTGCCGAGTCTGGAGGGGGTGAGGAGCAGTGGCCCCTGGGGATGGAAAGGGCCCCTGATGTGCCTCCATCTCGCCTCAGGCTACGGCAACCTGAGCCCCCGAACGATGGCCGCCCGCCTCTTCTGCATTTTCTTTGCTCTTGTGGGGATCCCGCTCAACCTCGTGGTGCTCAACCGACTGGGGCATCTCATGCAGAGGGGGATGCACCGCTGTGCCCGCAGGCTGGGGGGCGCCTGGCAGGTGAAGGGGCTGTGGGAGTAAGGGGAGGGGCGGGTTATGCTACGATGAGCCAGGTAGTGGGAATCAGGGGCCCAGAAGAGCAGGGGTTACTTCTGGAAAGCAGGGTTCCTGGTGGGGATGTGGTGGGATTGGAGGCCACTGCCCAGAATGCGGGTCTTTAGTAATAAAGGGACATCAGTGGGGGAGACGCCGTGGTACCTGGGGGACAGGAAGGGAATGAGCCAGCCAAGGTCTTGCCCAAGAACCTGGAGAACGCAGACTACGTAGAGGGGTCGCAAGGGCAGCCCCTTCCTCCTGGCAGGGAGCATTCGCCTTGCCTCCAACTCTGGACCGCCCCCCCCCCCGGCTGTCTTGTCCCCCAGCACTGGGTAGTGGCCACACAGGGCTCTATGTGCACCCACAGGACCCGACCAAAGCTCGGTGGCTGGCAGGTGCTGGTGCCCTCCTCTCGGGCCTCCTGCTTTTCCTGCTGCTTCCCCCACTGCTCTTCTGCCACATGGAGGGCTGGAGCTACGTGGAGAGCTTCTACTTCGCCTTCATCACCCTCAGCACCGTGGGCTTCGGCGACTACGTGATTGGTGAGAGAGCCCTGCAGGCAGTGGGAGAGTGGCCTGGACACTCAGCTGCCGGCCTTCCAAGGGGTTTGGGGGGGAGCCCAGGTGCATTAGTGAGGACTAATGCCCGCTCCGTCTGCTGGCACCTGCTATGTGCCAGGCCCCGTGGAGGTTTGCAGGCCCAAAGTCCAAAGGATACGGTCCTTGGCAAGTTCAACCTGCTTTGTTGTGTGATGGGGCCAAGATCCGGCTAAAAAGTGACACCTGGAGTTTGACCCCAGGGCTTGGGGCTGGCTGTAAGTCACACTCCTGGCCCTCTTGACAAGCACTGGAAATGTCTGAGGCTCAACTATTGTTATGAGCGCTCACCAAGTTAGGGGAGTCCCTGACCTCCCTCCCTGATCCTTCCTTGTCCCGGGGTCTCTCCTCCCCACTTCACCCTGCCCCATGAAATGCCAAGCTTCCCACTCTCCCTGGGCCGCGGTCCATTTGTTCCACGTGGCCACAGGGACTAGGCAGGAGAGTCTGCATTGGAAAACAACGGGCAGACAAGCTTTGAGCACCAGCAAGGAAGGGCTGTGTGGTCCAGAAGGCCCAAGGTGAGGTTAGATCAGCGGTCACCACCCAGTGTGGGCAAGGCGAGGGGCCCAGAAACCTCTAGCCTTGCGTAATAAAGATGAGGCAGGTGCCCAGCAGGTGGCGGTAAAGGAACATTCTGTGGGCCTTCAGGGGTGGCTGGGCCCTTCGCTCCGCCTCATCATCCCCCTTTGCTGTCCTCCCCTGAAGGTTCACCACAAGAGCAGTGGCCACGGGTACCACCAACACAGTGGTCTCAAGGGGCTCTACACCCTCCCTCAGATCCCTGGCCCTCAATTAGGGAGGAGCCCTGCCCTTCTTCACATCTCTAGAGACAGAACCCTGCCTGGAATATTGAAATGAGGTCTTACCAAAGTAACAAGCAGTTAGCTCATCAAGCAACCTAGAGTGACAATTTTTTGCCCGTTTTACTAAGGAGGAAGCTGAGGCTCAAAGAGGCCAAGCCATTTGCCTGAGATTGCACAGCTAGCTCGAATTCTGATCCGCTGACTCCCAAGCTCATACTCTTTCCAGACCACCTCACACACCCCCTCTCTGGGCCTCAGTGTTCCTGTCTATAAAGTGGGGGGCCTGGGCTAGGTGATGGCCTTCTCACCTGTGTGCAGAGCCCCCTTCCCTGAACCTCTCCTTCCTTGGGAAGAAGGGTCCTGTGTCAGGGGCCTCATGCTGGCCCTTCCCGATATCCTCCATCCTGGGAGGAAGCCTGTTGCTCTGGAAGGACATCTTGGAAGTTTCCTCCAGCTGAGTATGCTCTCACTCCTACCCTCAAAATGGAGAGATGCGTCTAAGGAGAGCTGAGCCCAATGGTTCCAAGGGCCCCATCTAGCCCCCTCACAGCTCAGAGAGTGATTCTGGGATCTGTCCTCTCCTCTCTGTTCCCACTGTCATCTCTTTAGTCCAGGCAGAGCAGTTGCATATGGCTGGCTACACAGATTAGCACTGCACAACCCTAAGGGGAGTTGCTATTCACACAGAGCACAATGGAATGGCACCCATGGATTTGTGCAGCCTGTATTTTTGTCTACCCTTGGCTCTTAGGACCTTTAAAAGTGACAGGTGTTATCATGTCACCTGCCCAGCTCCTCTGAAAACATTCAGTGTTTTCCCACAGTCTTAGGATCGAGTCCCAAATCCATGATTTTGGCAAGGGCCTCTGTATGGCTGAGCCCTGCCTCCCTCTCTACTCTGAGCTCTCCCTCTTCCACCCTGCAACTGGGCCACCAGGAGCTCAGCCGGAAGAGCCTCAACCCAGGCCTGCGAGATGTGATGGGTCCTGCCACAGCCTCCTGCACCACACACAGAACACTTGAAGGCCTCATCTGCAAGCAGAAACTGAGGCCCAGAGAGGGGAAAGAGGTTGACTAAGGTCCTAGAGCAGGCAAGCCAAGAGCAGGTCGAAGACAGACTCCCAAGCCAGGATACCTATGTTGCAGAATCTTCCAAAGCTGAGCGGGGACAAACCCCACTCCCGCCTCTTCCTCATGTCTCTTGACCTTCTCTGTCCTCCAAGGATAAGGTCAAACCCTTTCCTTGGATGGGAATGCTGAGGTCCACAGTCTGGACTCGGGGTGCCCGTTGTCCCTGTATCAGCAACCACAGGGGTGCTGTCTTCACGGCCGCTCTTCTTTCCCCGAAGGCCGTGGCCAAGAGCGGCACCCCAGTCCCAGCCATCTGTGCCCCCCCGGCCTCATACCCCCACATCCCCCAATTGCATTTGCAACTCATTGAAGCGCCTTGCCAGCTGCCAGATCTCCCGCCACTTACGATTTTGGCTAAAACAATGAAATCAAACCGGAGAAGGACACCTCCTCCCCCTCAGTTGCCAGGAGCAAGCCGAACTGGTGGGTGGCAGGGGCAGAGAGCTGGCTCACTGCTGATCTCATTTGGGACCGCCGGCGGAATCTTGGCCCCATAACCCAATCAGCTTAATCCAATCCTGGCTCCTGCCAGGTGGCGAGGTGGGGTCAAGGGCTGCAGGCTCATTCCCGAGCTGGGGCCCAGGAGAGGGGCCCAGGCTTCAGTGACTGGGAAGAGAGGTTGTCTTGGGACCAGCAGGGCAGGATGGGAGTGGACAGAGGGGTGGGTGGGACAGATCTCTTTCTGAAGACAGAAGACAGATAAGGATGCTGAGGAAATAAGAAGACAGATCTCGCCCTTTGAACAAACCCGATCTGATGAGGGAGGCAAGATAGACCCCTAGGAAAGAGGGAAAAATTAAGTTATGGAGCAGGCTAAGCCTCCAATGACCTCCATCTGTCCCTTCCCTCTGCCATTGCTTATCCAGTCCTGACAATGTTGGGAGCACCCTTGTGGGGGTCTAATGGTGAGTAAAACAATCGCCCAACTCCAGGTCTTGGGTACCTGTTATGTGCCAAGCACCATTCTGAAAACCTTAGATATTTGAAGCTGGTCCTGGAAGGTGGACCTCTTGTTGTCTCTGTTTTATAGATGAGGAAGTCAAGGCCCAGAGAGAATAAGTAGCTTAGCCGGCAGAGTACATGGGCTGGGAGAGAGTGTAACAGAGGGGCTCAGCCTCATCTCTGGGAGTGAAGACTAGCTGAGATCTATCTGCAGGATGAGGGGAAGTTAACTAAGCCAAGAGGAGTTGGAAATGAAGAGCATTCTGAGCTGGGAGGACAGCAAATGCAAAGGCAGGACTGATGATAGACGGAGGAAGTGGGGAAAGCCCAGAGTGACAAGCACAGCCCTCAGTGGGAAGAGGTGTGCAAATCGAGGCTGGAGGAGTAGATAAGGACCTTGGGAGAAGAGTTTATGATTTCATCCCAAAAACCAGGGCCTTGGAAAATAATCATCTTCCCCATTTCACAGGGGAGGGGCATTCAGACAGATGACGGTCACACAGCTAGGAAGAACCGAGGCGGATACAAACTCCTGCAGTTCCCTCTGTGCTTCCTAAAGCTCCTGGCAAGTTGCCTCTGTTTAGATATGAGGAAACCAAACACAGAGACAGGCAAACAACAGAGAAGGCATTAGAATCTCTTGGAAGGCTTATTAAAACACAGATTGCTGAGCCTACCCCCAGAGTTTGCATTCGGTAGGTCTGGAGTGGCGTCCGACCATTTACATTTCTAGCAAACTCTCAGGTGATGCTGCTGCTGCTGGTCCAGGGACCCCACTTTGAGAACCACTGGGATAGAGCGCAGAATCTGTCAGAAAGCCAAAGAGGAAATTTAGCTTCCAAACCCAAGGCATCAACCCAAGGAGGCTTCCTAGAGTCCTACAGAGGTGGCCACAAGGCCAGCAATCTCCAATCAATTTGAACTTCCCATATTCTGCTCATATGCATCAAGTCATGTGTGTCTGTTTCTGTTTGGGAATGTGGCCTTGACCTTCCCAGGCCTCCATCCTCTTACTTTGCCTCTCCCCCCAGGGATGGACCCCTCCCGGAGGTACCCGCTATGGTACAAGAATACAGTGTCCCTATGGATCCTCTTTGGGATGGCGTGGCTGGCCCTGATCATCAAACTCATCCTCTCCCTGCTGGAGACGCCAGGGAGATCGTGTTCCTGCTACCACCACAGCTCCAAAGAGAACTTCAAGTCCCAAAGCTGGAGACAGAACCCAGATGGGGAGGCAGAACCCCATTCACCACAGCCAGGCTGCCATCCGGAGGAGCCTATGGGAATCATGCAGCATCCAGAACCTTCTACTCACGTCTCATGCTGTGGAAAGGACAATTAGTTCTACTCCAGTATGTGTTCCATCTTCTTCCTCAGCAACAAGACCCCTGGTTTTAAGCTTAGCCCATGACCACTCAGACTAAAGACTACGTTTTTTATTAATCTCCTCTTGAGGCTATTTGGAGCTATATGATTAAATTCTGCCCAATAGAATCCACAGAGAAGTATCCTGTGTGACTTATGAATGTGACTTTTCGCAGCGGGGCGGGAGGTGTTCCTCTTCACTATTTCCTTTTTCTAGCTGGCTGCAATGCTGATATCGTGGCTGGAGCTCTGGCAACCACATGGCACTGTGAGGTAGAGGCCGTGTTTGAGATTGGTGACACAGTAAGATAGAAAGAACCCGGGTTCCTGATGGTGGCAGAGCTACCATAACAAACCTGGACTGAATACCTCCAGACTTCATTTATGTGAGAGAGAAATAAATGTCGGTCTTATTGACTACAGTATTGTTTGGGCTTTTCTGTCACTCACAACCACAGCTAATTCTAATTGACATACACACCCAGAGACAAAGGCAGCATCTGAGACCGAAACACACACAGTGAGAATCTACTCCCTTCCCAGGTGAGTTTGCCCAGGACTCCCTGGTGAAAGGGATGGGTTGAAGGCTGAAGTACAACTCCTCCTCCACCTCCAGAGACCTTCTAGGTAAACTCACTGAAGATTTGCAGATCATTGTCAGGGCTGATACAGCCAGCAGGCAGCTGGTCCCCGTTTGACTGCTGAATCCTTGCCCTAGGGCTTCCTCACACCAGGGCAAAGCCAGGGGCAGGCCAGTGGGCTCCTCCTGCCTCACCCCACCCCACTTCATTTGAAGACTGTGATTGCACAGTTTGCAAGGCCAGGTAGGCTTTGCAGACGTCACTGCAGTCTGTAGATAGAGTGTCTCCCCCTGAGCCTTTCTGTCTCTTGCCTAGGCTTGCTACTAAGGTAGCACACTCCTTATCACACTGAGGTCCCCAGGCCAGCGGGGAGCCCCTGGCAGTACCAGCCACACCTGAGGGTCACCGGGGGCAGCTGGGTTCTTGGCCTTGGTGGATATCTACGACTCGGCTCCCCTCCACTGTATACCTGTGGTGACACAGGGACCTGAGAGGCTCCATGTGGCCCCTCCCTGTGGACAAACACCTCGGCCTCAGGGCCCTCCTGAAATTGGGTCAGGGGCAGCCTTTTGGCCAAAAAAGAAGGAAGGGTTGTTACACCATCCAGCTTACGCCATCTGGCCTGGCCCTAAGTGGACCAAGGCCAGCCCCAGGAGCAAACACCAGCGAGTAAACAACAGGGTCCATGCCCTCTTCCTAAGGCCCACAGACTGGGCAGAGGAAAATGGAGGTGAGGCTGAGATCACCGGGGGTCTGGAACTGGCATCCTTGTACTTAACACACTCCGCAGAGAAGACCCCTAACTCAAAACTGGGAGAGACAGAGGCTAGTGCTGGGTTTATTTCCATGGTCCCAACTCTGCCTCACCTTGAGCCCCTCTCTCCCCATGCCTGGCCTCTTAGACAGAGTCCCTCTCACCCCCCATCGATCTCTTCACCCCACGCACACCCAGACCCATGCTCACAATGGCCGCCCTTGCCCAGGGGAGAACAAGCCCGTGGTACCCCCGGTGGGGCAGAGGCAGGCTTCTGATTGGCCAGTTGCCTGCAGATGTCTGCCCCACAGCCAATGAGAGGAGTCGCTGGAGCCCTGAGGCACAAATCCACCCAGAAAGTGAGAGGGGTGGTGGGGTGGGAACGAAGATGAAGAGTGAGCGGTGTGGGGTGTGAGGAGAAGCCTCAAGAAACCATGTGGGGAGCCACGGGGAAAGGTCTGGGTCTGGGAAAGGCGCAAGAACAGTCAGACCTCGGCACAGAAACCACAGACTAGAAGGCGCAGTGAGGTCTTGCCGTCGCAGATGAGAGGGAGGGGAAGGAGGCGTGCTGCTGGCGTCGTATGGCAGCCTGAGAAAGCTGTCCCGCCCCGTGCAGACAAGCAACCAGGTCACTCGTTCCCTCGCACCACCTTGAAGCGGAGGGAACGCGGGCCTCTCTGAGCCGTAGAGCCCGTGCAAATCACTTCACATCTTGCATCGGCTTCTTCTTCTAGGAAGGGAGATAAGAGCCGGGCTGTGTCCCGGGATTCGATGCGTGTGTAAAGTAGCAGCAGGGTGTGCGTCATCCCCGAGGAGGCGTGATGTGCATCTCAGCTTCTGGCGTCCCACAGTGGGCCCCGGGACCAGGCAGGAGGCAGGGCTGGTGGCTACGTGCTGACCCCTCTCAGGGCTCGGGGCTGGCCAGGCAGGCTCCAGGGAGCAAGCGATGACGCGGGACTCAGCCCTGCCCTGGGGGGCTTCCAGGCTGACACCATCACGCTGCTAGCCAGGATGAGGGGGTCTGGACACGCGTGAGTCATAGAGGATCCTCCTGGCAGAGAAGGGGAAGTTCATGCTGAGCGTGCAAACACAGGGCTGGGGGACCGGCCACTGCTGCTCCCACAACGCAGAGGGACAGGTGGACCCCTCACCCCAGTGGCTGCTATGCCTCCGCCCCAACCCCCCCCACACACACCGGACAGGCTGTCCAGTTCTGTGGCCTCCGCACAGCCAGGGCAAGATCAGACTCACTGTCACATGGTGGTTCCCTTTAAACCAGCGACATTCGTCATCACCACGTCATCATCCTGGTCATCATCATGATTTCCTAACATTTATGGGGTGCTTATTATGTGCCAGGCACTGTTCGTTGTAAGCACTTTGCTTGTACTGAGTTATTCTCCCATCAACTCTGAGAAAGGGGCTGTTCTTTTTAATGCAGTTTTAAGACGGGGAAAATGACATTTTCACTGGATGCCAAGCAAGGACAGCCGCCCGTCCTGTGGGTGAGCAGGAGAGAGGTAAGGGCCTGGCATGGGGGCAGGGAGACTCTCCCTTTAAGCCCTCTGTAATCTTCACAAGCCATTCCCCTTTCTGTGCCTCAGTTTACTCATCTGTAAAAGATGAGGCTGACTTCAGGGATTCTGCGTCTTACTGGCTCTATTCCCTCTGGAATTTTGTCTGGATTGTTCTAGTTGACCATGTTTCAGGGAGGGCAGTTCCTGGCCCCAACCATCTCCTGAGCTGTCTTTTTTTTTTTTTTTTAAAGATTTTTAAATTTTTATTTATTTGACAGAAAGACACAGCAAGAGAGAGGGAGCACAAGCAGGGGGTGTGGGAGAGGGAGAAGCAGGCTCCCCGCTGAGCAGGGAGCCCGATGTGGGGCTCAATCCCAGGACCCTGGGATCATGACCTGAGCCAAAGGCAGAAGCTTAACGACTGAGCCACCCCGGTGCCCTCTCCTGGGCTGTCTTAAGCATAAATGCTGGGACCTAAAGGTCCAAGGAAGTCTCACTCTGTCTTTGTCTATCTATCTGTCTCTCTCCCTCTCTCTCTCCCTCCCTCACACACACACACACACACAAAGTTCCCCAGGTCCTTCCCTCATGGCCCCTCCAGCCCTGGCAGCCTGGCTGTGGGAGGGATGTCCGTTCATTTTAGGAACTGGGCCAGAGAAGGCTTGACTCAGTAGCAGCCAGAGGACCCCCATAGTCTGGGCAACAGCTATCTGAGACTCTCCCCGTCCCCAGTTCCCTCTACCCTTACCTCACCGGCTCCCCACCCCTGGGCTCCAGGCCCGGAGAGCAATGGCCTGAAGTTGACCCTCTGACAGCCCCCCTCTGCTCTCCCTAAACCACCCACGCCACTGGTCGCTGGGTCTCTCATTCTATTGTCCCTCCCACCCCCACACCCCAGACACTCTCAGTGCTGGGCCCTGGCCCCACTGACCCTCTCTCCTTCTCCCCTCTATACTGTGCTGTGCCCTGTTATGTCCTAACCCTCTTGCCCTTTGCTAACCAAAACTCATCTCCAGTTAAAATTGTTCCTTGGGGTTCAGGGGGCAGCAATCCCCCTCCCCCGCAAGGCCTCCTCAGCCCATCCTTAGGGTCTTTGCCCAAGATTCCCAGCCCACCCCCCACTCCGGTCACAACACCCTTCCCAATCCCCATGGCAGCCCTGGCAAGGCCTGGAGGCAGGAGGGGCAACCAGAGCTGGACACCCCCCGCCCCAGTTAGGGCTTTTGTGGGGAGCCAGGGACACTCCCCCTGCCACACCAGCGTAGTCTCCAGAAGTGTGAAAGCAAAGCCAATCAGACTCACTCCCATCAGCCACTGAGCCCCCTGCCCCTGCCTGGTTCTGGGGTTAGGATCCAGCTCAGCCTTTGCCTGCAGTCCATCCTTTCCATATCTTTTCAGACCAACTTTTATCTCACTTACTCTTCCCTGGAGTCAGGCAGACGTGAATCTATATCCCGACTCTATCAATTACTTGCTTGCTGTGCAACATTTGAGAAGTCACATAATATCTCTGAGCCTAAAATGGAAATGCTGATACCATCCTCAGGAATGTTTGGATGAATGTGGGGGAGTGAGTAATGAATGAGAAAGCACCCGAGTTGGATCTGCTACATCGTAAGGCTCAGAAATATTTGTTCCCCTCCCTTTCTCTTCTTCCTGGCCAGAAGCTCTCCCTGACCCCACCCTCTTTCATCAGGCAGCTCATGGAGCCCTTCTGCACCCCTTTTCTGTGTCTCTAAGGTTTGCACTGAGAAGTTGTTTGTTGTTTGAGCTAGATGCTGGGGATAATAAGAAAACAAATGAGTGGGGCCAGCCCCTGCACTCAGGGCACAGCTAGTCAGATGGGGGAGACATGGCGCTCCAGGTCTGACAAGGACTTTCCTGTGGGGAACACGGTCTGTCCCTTCTTCCCTGACTTCCTTTGAGAAGACCTCCTAGACCCTCCCAGCCTTTGGCCTCCAGTGGACTTGGGAGGGGCAGGAAGTGAGGCAGGGATGGAGGGAATACATTTGCCAAAGCTCTGGGAGGCAGCAGGAGACCACCTGTAAAGTGAGAGGGTTCGTGTGTGTATTGGAGGAGTGGCCCACTGGCCACCTCTGGGTCAGGTCGCTTCCCTGGGGGCTGGGTGTGAGCCTGCAGCAGCACTCCTTGATACTGTGTCTTGGCTCCTTCTCCCCATCCACTCTCGGACTTTCTCTGAACCCCTGAACCTCCCCGGTGGGGGCAGGGTCTGACCTCCATGAGCTGAGTCACCCGGGCTCCTTTGGTCTTTGGCTTCTGACTTGCAGAAGCCTAAGAGGGCAAGTGGTGGGAGGGGAGGGGGGGAGAGGAGTCAGGGTATTTGCCCCCTCTCCCAGCAGGCCCTGCTTTTGGCAGTGCTGTACTCCTTCCCTGAGGGCACAGCGCCTCTCCGGCTGGCGCCTTTCCCAAGGTAGCAACACTGACTGGGTTCTAGTGAAGCCCCCCTCCCCACCCCTTTAGGACCAGGGGCCGTAATGACTCCCCACTGTCGCTGGTCCCTGAGCTGCACCATCACCTAGACCTGCCCATACTCTCCATGCTCCCTTCATTACACCCTCAGCAATGAACCCTCGGGAAGTGCCATCTACTTCCCACAAAGACCCAACTGATCCCAGCACCCAATTCATCAACCCCCGCTCCCTCCCTGAGCCAGACTGCAGCCCAGCTGGGAGTTGGAAGCTCAAAACACTGAATTAAAATCATGGAGGAATCCACTCAGCCTCCCTGATCCAGGAGAGGCTCCAGCTTCGGCTCAGGGTAACAAGAGTGGAGACCCAGGCCCAGGTGCCAGGCACACCCCATCACCCTTACCTGCTTCTGCCTGGCTGGGGACAGCAACATGAAGGAAGGGGGAAAAGGCTCCCCTCAACCATGTTCTGGGCCGCGCAGAGAAGTCAGGGAAGAAGGAACAGACCGTGTTCCCCACAGAAAAGTCCTTGTCAGACCTGGAGCGCCATGTCTCCCCCATCTGACTAGCTGTGCCCTGAGTGCAGGGGCTGGCCTCACTCATTTGTTTTCTTATTATCCCCAGCATCTAGCTCAAACAACAAACAACTTCTCAGTGCAAACCTTAGAGACACAGAAAAGTGCAAAGTGTGACCACCCCGCCCCCACCATCTGGAATACAGCTCCTTCTCCGCGGGTGGTCCAGAGCTGGTCCCTGGGGCACTTGCCAACTCACACCTGTATACCCTTGGGCAAGTCACTTCACCTTGGGGTGGCCAACTGGTCCCAGTTCTCTGGAGACTGTCCTAGGAAAGTGCGGCCTCCAAGGACACCCCTTAGTCCCAAGAAGAGTGGGACAGTTGTTCACTCTACTTAATCTCCCGGTGCCTCAGTTTCCCCCATGTGCCAACAGCAATCGGCCTCAGGAGGAAGGCTGTGGTGTAGGTGGAATGAGTTCATGCACCTGGCACAAAGTCAGTTCTCTATGATTTACCTTCTTTGAGTTTCCCAGGAGCAGATCATGGGGCAGGATTTGGCTGTCAAGTAGTTGATTTGAGAAGTGGCTCCGAAGAGCACCAGGAGGAAAAGGAGAGTGACCCAGAGAGTTGACGGGCAGGGGAGGGCTGCTGGGTAATCGGGCTCCAGCCTGCTGCAGAACTCTGGGTGGAGCGTGCCTCAGAGCTGCCTGTTCCGAGGGGCAAGGAAGAGAGGCATATGGCCCCCCACTCCCATTTCTCAGCACGTGAGGGCTTCTGCCTGAAGAGGGAGGTGCCTCCTCCCCAGCACATGCGGGGCAGAAGTCTGCGGAGTACGTGGGAATGGGTCAGTGCAGAGAGGACAGGGCGCTGTCTCGTAACACTGAACGTGTTAATTACACTCAAACTGGGCAGGAGACATGGGAGCAGAGGAGACACCTGCCCAGCTGTGGGAAAGGGGAGTCAAGGCAGGAGGAGATATTTCCTGGGTGAGCTCTGAATCATGAATACAAGCTTTCCAGGCAAAGGAGGAAGCAGGCCTTGCACGGGATGGGTTCACAATAAATATATCAATGAATGCCAAATAAGTCCAGAGGGATTCAAATGCTTGAGTTAGTGGAGCTGATTAGATGGTGGAGAGGCATGGCCAGTCAGAGGAGGAGGTTATGAGGTCAGATGCCCGTAGACATCAGGAAAGGCTGGATCAAGGCACGAGGCCCTGAGCTGGGCCCCGGTTGACAGGTGAGGGGGGGGGAGAGGCAGACCACGTGGATGAACCTCAAGAGCAAAGGAGGAGAAGCAGGAATGGGCAGGGCTAGAAAGGGATGCCAAAGAAAGGGAAGGAAGGGGAAGGAAGGGAAGGAAAAATTAGGGAAAGGAAGGGAGAAAGAGAAGGGAAGAACTGAACTTGGGGGGAGGAGAAAAAGGGGCAGAGAGACGTAAAAAGCTCAATCACAGCGGTAGAGAGAGAGCCAGAGTCCTGCTTCACCGAGGTCCAAGGAAGAGAGTGAAAACAAGGCAATATCAAGTTCTCAGGAGCTGAGTCCTGCCCAGAGTGGAGGCATGAGCCATCCGGGAAGGCTTCC